TAGCAACATTTTAGGTTTTACAGACTTAAAATTTACAGTATAAAGACGTATTTCACTATCTGATATCATGTTAATTTACCGACCTGAAGAACTAATATCTGTTTTGTATCATTGTGATACACTGACAACCACCAATCACAGTGGAGATACGAGTCACATGATCAATCAAAGCTCATCACAAACAGCTTTATCATAAGAAAGGTAATACTAATAATAAAACAGAAGCTGCACAGAGTCATTCACACACACACTAAACACCATCATGGGGACACACATGGAGTTTAAAAAATGCAATAAGCATTAATTAAACAACATTAAATGTAACATAAAACTGTAAAGTACATAACGGATTAGAAAAACCTAAGAAAAACTATGAAGAAACAGTTATTTCAACAAAAACACATCAAATGTGAAGTGTCAAGGAATTGTGGGAGTCAGTTTACGGTTTTTCACTGTAAATTATACAATGACTTGTTCTTTTTCACTTTCAAAAACTGTAAATGTAATGGTTTAACAGTGTTTCACCGTAGCATTCACCGTACATTTTTGCATTTTGTACAGTGTTGTTCCAAACCTATGACGTCTTTTCTTCAGAGAAACGCACAATGAGCTTTCAGTGACTGCACAAAAGACAAAAATGCACGTGCTTTAGACCTGAAATATAATGCAATGCATTCATAATTGATGATGCTGAATAAATAACATTCATCTTCATTGCATGACAAACAGCAACTATCCGAGCTTCTCATTCGTCACACTGAAGTAATCAATAAAGATCTGATCTGAAGAACATGAAGGTGAATAAATGATGGCCAACTATTCCTTTAAGACTTTGTACACGAGTGTGTGTCTCTGTTCCTAAAAGGCTCTGGCACTGAAGTGTTTTAGACTCATTGCATCATTGTGGTGACTAGCAGCTCGCATCCGCTCAAATTCCTGACAGCAGCTCTGTATGACACCTATATAAAAGCCAAAATCGATGTTTTTTTCAAGTGCAACAATAAAATGTTGACAATAAAATGTGTTATTCTTCAAGCTCGCCATTGAAAGGAGAATATTGACCTGTAGTGCATTCAAGCTGGTGGGAATAAAATGCACCAGCATCACATTTATCCGATTTTTTTAGATAAACTGTATGAAGAACAAGTTGTGAGTATCTAAGAAGAATTAATGCATACATTATTAGGCTAACACTTTACAATAAGGTTCACCTAAGTTAATATGAACTATTAATTTCAACATTTACTAACACATTAATTAAATTCAAAGGTTGTATTTGTTAACGATAGTTAATGCGCTGTGAACTAACATGAACACAGCTAACTAACATTAACGAAGATTAATAAATACCGAAACAAATGTATTGCTCATTGTTAGTTCATGTTAGTTAATGCATTAACTAATGTTAACTAATGAACCATTTTGTAAAGTGACTGTTTTGTAAAATAGTCTATAAAAATCTAAAGCTTATGGCAAAGATACATGAAAGTTTGGCTTGCATGAGCTCTAATAAAGTCATCTGTGCAACATGGTGAAAACTAAAGGTGCGCTCAGGTAGAGCAATGCAATCTGTGGATCTGACACACACACACACACACACACACACACACACACACACACACACACACACACACACACACACACACACACACACACACACACACACACACACACACACACACACACACACACACACACACACACACACACACACACACACACACACATCAGGTACACAGTGAGTGTTCAAGGATCTGAACAGAACTACAATCGAGGTGTAATTAACTGGTGCGAGTGTCTGTGAGAGCTATCCGTGTTCGGTGGTGTGACTTGCCTTTTGGGAACAGAACTATTTCCAGACTGAACCCCATGTACAGTGAGAAAGCCACATCTGACAGCACACCGCTTTTATAACACAGAGATGTGCTGTCATTATACACACAGACATATGCATTTGTATACGAACAAGTTTCAGTAAAAACACACACATAATACAGCACAGGAGCCTTCAAAAGACATGAAACTTTTGGGATCATGGGATGAGATTAACAGCAATCTGTTCCTGATGCCTTAAAAATCACTCTTAATGTTTATGCTCTCAGCAGATGTTTCGTACCAAATTAAAAGCACAAATCACATGGTAAGTGGAAATTAGCATGATAAAGCAAAGAGAATACACAACATATGCTCAAATAGGCCCCAAAACGACAAGAAGAAAGCCAAAATTGCAAATGCAATGAATTGTAAATCAAGCTGCTGTTAAACTAATACAATATCAGACTGACGCTGTACAACATCTATAATAGGGATGCAGAAATGTGCCGTTATGCATCAGTCTGACAATGAAATTCCAATGCAATTACTACAGATTTAAAAAAATATATAATTATAAATGCATTCATTTCTTATAAAAAAAATATGATGCCTGGAAATATAGATGTAAAATCAACTTATGGCCGCTTGCATAAACCGCTAGTCTTAAAAAGAATTCTTGACAGTT